AAAGGTGCATGCATGATGCACACACACATCCATGAAAATTGAAATAAAAAAGTATACCTCAATTAACACACAGATGGAGGACAAATTTTTACACAAGTCGAGAACAAAGCCAGGATCTTGTGTGTCGAGTTTGCCCTCGGAACCGAAGTAAAATATCATTGGGGCGGTGCTATTGTGTCCGGCCCAATATTCACGGTTCATCACGAACTTTTGTTTGAAAGTTCCGTAGCCATCAGGCTCGAAGTTGCCGTGGTCGAAGGGTTGTGTGTAAAAATATGTCTTAAAACCACGCGGAAGGGGCTCGGTCATATTACGATCACGCCCTCCGAAAGCCGAAAGCCGCTTAGAGCTTCTGAGGGCATCTGCTGCCCTCGGATATCTAAAGTTTGCTTCGGCTTCGAGGAGAAAGGATGAGAGGAGGAGGAGGAGGAGAGGGTAGAATAATCGGAACGAAAGTACCACTCTTGATGCCGGTGGTACTGCCATTGGTTGCTTAGTGAGTAGGGCGCCAAAGAAAAAAATATTTGAATGCTAGTATTAGTTTTTATGTGTTTTGAGTGATGATGGGTAATGTGATGAATGGGGTGAAGGTATTTATAGAAGGGCTTGGCCAATTAATGGTCACTTTTGTGGAGTGTGTGTTATTACTTATTACTATTAGATTGGGTGCGTTGAAAGTTGAAAGACTACTTTTTTCTTTTTTTTCTTTTTTCTTTCTTTCTTACTTTCTTTTGACTAAGTGTGGATTCATAAGGGCCGCGTGCAAACATATTGTGATCTTGATGAATGTGCATTTGGGTACAATCACTTAGGACGAAATTTGGAGGGATTATAATTCGTACGTATATGATTTCCTTTTTAGTGAAATTTGAATTACGCGGCTTTGGTGTTACGGTGTACATTTATATAACAATTGATATTACTAACTACATTACATTAAAAAATATGAAATTTAGAAAATAGTAATAATTTATATCTATGCAATTGATGTGTCATATTCCATCATGAATACCATATCAAATTTACGAAGAAAGCATTTCATATCTTCTTTATTGTTATTATTGATATAATTTCATTTGTGGACAGTCTTACCTAGTGATCAGAATGTTTCACAAGAATATTGTTTAAAGTCGGTTGGTTCGTTATACTTTTCATTTTGACAAAATAAATACTTGTAATATAGTATTTTATAATTTTATTTATAATTTTTTATAATACGGTATTCCATTTTGAAAATATGCATATCTCTAAATAGTCTTACCTTTAGGCTTAGTTAACAAGCCTTACTAATGCAAAAATATGTACTGCAATATAATCAACTTTACATGCAAAACAATGACTAGCCAAGGAAACAATAAACCAAATAACTGAAATATATATATATATATATATATATATATATATATATATATATAGGGGCTGGTTCAAATAAAAACTAGTCCTGGTGTGAGAACCGTGAAAACCATATTTAATGCTATTTTTAATTGTATATGATGCTATTTTTAATATTACATGATGCTATCATTTTCACAAATGCTAATATAATTGTTTTGCTACTTTTAATAAAATATATCCTAGTTAAAAATAGCACTAAATTACAACCAATCATAGCACTTCATACAATTAAAAATAGCGGTTTTCAAGGTTCTCACGCTAGGACTTGGTTCTCATTTGAACCACATCCTATATATATATATATATATATAGATGTGCTCAAATGAGAAAATAGCACAATGAAAGAAATAAGAAATAATATGGACCACTTGATCTACAATTCCAATGGCCAGGATGTAGCTGTCAGTTTTGGATCCCTGCCAACTATTGATGGTATCTCGTAAATAGAGATGAATGTTGTGGTTATTTGTAGAAGTTTAAGGGTAATTTTGTATTTTAATAAAAAGCACTTCTCACACCTAACCCTTCATCTTCTCCCCCAACCCGTCACTCCCACACAGACATACACACAACCACCCTCCTGCCACTGCCCGTCGCCGCCCATCGCACTTCGTCGCCGCCGTCTCAGGCGTCTTCTCGCTCGCTATGTGTCTCTCTCTCACGTTCTCTGCATCTCGTCACCTCCGCCGATTGAACTCGCACAAGGTCACGAGCAGAGCCGCCATCGGCCACCTGCCCCGCCGCCGGCAAGACTATCGCCGCCACAAGCTCAGTCGGTCACGTTGACATTGCCGCCATCGGCTGCCACCGTCACGAACTGAGCCACCATCAGGAACCTACTCTGCCGCCTCCACGAGCCGAGCCACCATCAGCATAGATCCGGCCATCCTTGGATCAATCCGGCCGTATTCTTCTCTACCGTGCAAAGTCGCGATCCTCGCCGACGACCGGAGGTGCAGCAGATGCTTGCGGCCACCGGGAGAGTCAATCTGATGTTTTCTACGGGACATTGTCGTCCGGCGGTGTGAAGGGTGGCGGCGGGCGGCGGGCGGCGGGTGGAGGGCGACGAGCTGAGAGTGACGGGAATATGATGATGTTCATGTGGGGGAGGATTGAATATTGAAAATTAGACAAGTCCAAAGGACTTTGATGCAATTTTAGAATTTTTAATTTATTGTATTTTAATATGTGAGGCATTATTAAATGAGTTTAATAGGTGCACACTAATGATATAAAAAATACACAATATTGTGCATTAAATTGCACATTAAAAATCATGTAACTTAATGAAATCACATATATGCTGTTACTAATTGTTCGGATCGTTTATTTTGGTCATTTTGAATAATGTGCAACATATCTAACACTAATGTGCAGTGTTTCAGTCGCTATTGTGCTTCTGTACAAATCGAACTTTTGCCTAACAAAATTAAAACCCGAACTAAAATACATGATTTATTCGGTAGGTTAACGAAATTACTATAATTATTATAAATAATAATTTTTATATAATAAATATTTATTTAACAATTGAATTATCTTATTTGATATTCTTGCATTAATTTTTATTGTAAATACATAATTTATGAAACACCAAAATTAACGTTGTGCATTGCCATATATAATAATGTGCCTTTGGTCTAGTATTATCGTGCAATCGATTGAGCGGGGGTATTTTTACGTGCGTCTCAATTTTAGAATAATTTAGTGATGTGTAATTTCAGTTAACATTACTGTGCACTTATTAATTTATTTATATATTAAAAATATATTAAGTATTTATATTTTTTATTTAGTATTTTATATTATTGCATGTAGAAATAAATAATATATATATGATATAAAAATTATAAATTTTTAATATATGTGAAAAAATGCACACTGATGTGATAATGTGCATTATTCTATGCATTGATGTGCATTTGGTTTAACACTGTTGTGCAATCCAACCATCTCTAATGTGCAGTGCAGTATTTTTTTTTTGTACCTAAATAATCAAATTTATTTTTTATTTATGTTATATTTATTATTTTTTATGAAATATTTTTATATTATTTTTTGATTTTAAAATATATAATATATATATTTATAGATATATTTATATATAACAAATAATTTTGTATGTATGTGGTATATTATTGTGTATTCTACACCCATGTATTTTTAATGTGCATAATATTGACAATTTTACTATATTAATTAAAAATTCATTTATTAGTTCTTACAAATTACAGTTTTGCCACCTGGACTAAAGTGAAAATAATCAAATTTTATAAAATTACAACCAAGTCCCTTAAAAGTATCAAATTTCTTATAACAAAACCCCTTTCAATTTTTGCAGGTCATTTCTCTGGTAAGGTACCGCAGCCGCCGTCGACTACCCTTATAGGTCGCCGCGTGAACGGCCGTCCTTCAGTCGGCGTCCGACGCGGATCTCGCAGCCGTGAAATCGGCTAAGGGGAGATCCCTCCGCCACGCCCATGCCGGTCAATAGATGTGGACGAAATCATTAGCCTGCGTCTTGATCGCCGTCGATTTTGGGCTCCGGTGATCTCTGAATTCCGGCCGATAGAGTGCTATAGATATGGCGGCTGAAGCGGCGCCGGAGCAGTCTGCGGCCGGAGACGTTGGCGGCGGTGGTTGAAACGACGGAGCGCCGGCGTCTGGTTCTTGTGGGCGGCGATGGTGGTGCGACGGTGGGGTGGCGCGACGGTGGAGGTTGGAGGCGAGTCATCGATGGTGGTGCGACGGTGTGTGTAACTGTGTGTGCAGTCGTGTGTGTAGTGTGTGTAGCGTGTGTGTGAGAGAGAGATGGCAGGCGTGTGTGGTGTGTGTAGTGCGTGGGAGAGAGAGGTGGTTGGGGGATGATTTAATGGTAGTGGCCACGTGGCAGACCATTATTGGAGGTGTGTTAGTGGGTAATTGGCATGGTTGCAATACAATGTCTAAAATACCCTTAATGAATATATAAATGCTTATTTTTTATTACCGTTAGATCATGAGATCTGATGGCTATGATTTATTCTTATTTTTTTCATTGAGCACCATTCTCACCGGAGCGCACCCTATATATATATATATAAATTTATATATATATATATAAATTGATGCCAACAAAATATTTAAATTGAATTAAATTGAAACCAAATTGAATCCAGAACCTCACATTGCACATAGTGGACGCCTCACGACACATCAAGTGGTCAACTATTTGTACAAAAACGTCAGATATCAGAGTATTGACCAATTATGTTAATTAACGACTTTCCTTTTGCAAATTCATTGGTATACCAAGAAAATCAAGTAGATATCTGCCCGTGCAAATTTATCCACTTTATTAATTAATTGACACTAGTTAAAACTTTAAAGACATAAACAATGTGCAGTGGTAGGCAAAGTACACTAGTCTGCACTGCACTTTAGCTTCCTTCTATCACAAATTGTTTGAGTGCGTTAGGATTTTGTATAATTACCTGAAATAATGCCTTTTTTGTTTTTAATTAATTAATGATAGTGGGCTATTGTACGAAGAAGTTAGGGGAAAAAATGATCTATTTTTAATTTCATGGGATTATTTCATGTGCACTAGTTTCAGGTTTTGTGTACAAATTTTCATGTTTTTGATTAATAAATTTTTAGTGGCAAGCTGCCTGAATTTTAGTGAAATCGCCCTCATTGCAGTATTGACATGCATATATATAGAATTTATATACATATATGATATAAAAAATTGATTCATGGACATTATCTAAAATGTAAGTCTTATAATTACGGGAGTGAGGCTCAGTAGGTTAAATCAATGTACTTGGTATTAATGTCTATAAATATGTATGTAGTTGAGATTACTGAATAAGATAACAACTTGACGAGAAGTGTTTCTTACAACTAATTTCGGGGATCATTCTTAAATTGTTAAATTGTAAAAGAGATTTTTAAATTGGCTCTAATTTCGGATCATTCTTAAATTGTTAAAGAGATTTTTGGAGTTAACTAATTGATATTAACATTAATTACTAAAGAAAAAAGAATTAGATGACAGTGTTTGGTCAAGTTCCTCTTGATGCAAAGTTAATTGGGAATTAAGGTACATG